CGTAAGCTCGTCAACCGCTTGGCATCAGGAGTGACCACTAGGCTCCGGCAAGTCTAGGTGTTGAGGCAAGAGTTGCCGGGTTTAAATAGGGAGCCTGGTGCAGGGTTCTGTTAGGGTTTTTGATAAACACTAGATGAATTTCTGGCAGGCGGCTTGGAGACAGCAGAGACAGGGCTTGGTGTGAGAGGAGGTCCTGAAATCTGTGAGTGGATAACAACTGGATAGGGTCTCCCAGAACTAGCTTTAGAGCTTCCTTGGTGAGATTGGTGGCTGCCACCATGGCCCGGAGGCACAGTTGCCAACCTCTGACTGTCATATCTGGCTGCTTGGACAGATAAGCTACAGGGGATAGAGCTGGCCCCAGGTGCTGAGTCTGGATTCCAACTGCTATACAGTGAACCCTCGTTGATCGCGGTTGATCGGTTCTAGACCCTACCGTGATAAATGAAATTCCGCGAAGTAGGATTCCTTATTTGTAAATCAAATATTTTTGTAGTTAGAGCATAGAGGACATGAAAAAACACCCTTTAGTCACCATTACACTCGTATTACCCAATTTATTTAACGAAAAAGGGAAAATACAGTAAAACATTTTGGACGTTACAATTATCATTTATTATTTACTATATTATTTATGGCATCAAGCGTGTACAGTATGAGCCAATCAGTGGCAGTAATGACAGAGCATGCACTGTTACGCAAAAACCGAGATAGAGTGAAGCCGCGGAAGTCGAAGCACAAAGTGGCGAGGGTTCACTGTACTTTGTTTTTAGTCCATGTAAAGTAAAAACTGTTTGGCGGTGAGTTAGTTAATTGTGCCAACCTGGCCGGTAATCACATGTGGGGCTAATTGAAAGGTGGAGGGATAAATGGGTGGTGAGCCTCGCCTTTCTAGTTGTCGGGTCTCTTGCTTTGTGATGGTCGCACCAGGGTGCAGCTGCCTTAGCAGTTCCCTGCTTCAGCTTGCAAGATTGATTTCCTACAAGACATCCCCAAGGAAGAGCCACATGGACCTATCCCGATGCAGCTCTGGGTGCTGGAGCAGCTGTGTGCAGACCCCTGCTAGTGCTGAAATGTTTATTCGTTGACTGACTCAGCTTTCCTCCTGCAGTCAGCATCATTGCCTCTGTTTTGTGAGGTGGAGGACTTTGTGGACTGGTGTTGGGTTAATGGGTTAATGTTGGACTTGTGGGCTTGGGCAGCATCGGGTTGGGATGTTTTCGTGATGCACACTTTCTTTACATAAAACTCTCTTATACATGAGTTGCTGTGGATTTGTTTCTCTAAAGTACCTAGACTCATACAGGTGGAGTTTGGTGAACGCAGGAGAGGGGAGGAGAACATGTCAGAGTTTATTAAAGGCCACTTTGACTTGCTGGGGAGAGTCAACAGGGGCAATAGGAGTAGTCTTAGCAGCTTCATAAAGGGGTTTAGCTAACAAGGCATCCAATGCCTGAAGAAACCTACAAATCCTAAAAAGGAGAGAGGTTGGTCTGCAGTTTGTGGAGTTTGGAGTGCTCCCATTCCCCAGCGGTGGTCGCTGTAAGTCCCTGGGTGGTGGGAGTGAGCTGCAGGCCCAGACAGATAACAGTTGTGCATGTGAGCTGGGCTTTAGCCCATGAGAACCGATAGCCTTAGAAGGTAGGAAGTTTAAGAGTTGGGCTGTATGTTCCAGTGGACTGGTTTCAGATGGCCTGCACAGCAGGAGGTCATCTACAGACTGTAGCAAGGTAGACGGAGAGAGAGGACAGTTTAACAGGTCTGTGGCCAGCGCCTGGCCAAAAAAATACCAGAATCTCGGAAGCCCTGGGGGAGAACACTCCAGAAATTGTGGAGGCCCTACTGGTGTCGGGAGCCTCCCAAGTGAAGGTGAACAAAAACTGGCAGCCAGAGTCTAGCGGAATTGTGAAGTAAGCTTCCTTTAGGTTGAGTACGGGGAACTGGGTGGTGTTAGGGGAAATATGGGACAGAAGGTTGTAGGAGTTACGGACTATGGCGTGGATAGGGACTACAGTTTCAATAATAAGGCGCAAATCCTGTACTAGGCGGTAGGGCCCCTCTACCTTTTTGACTGGCAAGATAGGGGTGTTGCACAGAGAGTGTGCAGGCATAATGAGTTGGTTAGCTAGAAGGTGTTGAACAATAGGTTTCAGGCCCCTATGGTAGACGAGGGAGATTGGGAACTGGGGATGAGAAGGGAAAGTGGAAGGGTCTTTGAGTCTAAGAACAACGGGTTGGTGATGTCTTCCGACAACCGGTTGAAAAGTGTTCCATACTGTAGTATTAAATTAAAAATGTGTTGGGGGGAGTTGGGGAGCCAGCCCCCGCTTCCTAATACTACTACTACTCAGATTCAGTAATGCACAATTGTACGGTTGAGATATATAAGTATT